GGGGGGGGGTAAAGAATCAGAGAAAAAAAATCTACCGGGAAATGGCGTATACTGACCTTGCTTACCTTGGTACGAGGACCCTCCGCCCCCCGAGCCTCCCCCATAGCCACCGTGCGAGCCCGTGTTGTAGGAGGCACCTCCGGAGTAGTTGTTTCCTCCGCCGCCGCGGCCGCTGTTGCCGCCGTAACCTGGGGGGGGGCGAGAGCGCAGTGAGCGCGGGCAGTTCCACCTTCCTCCTCCAGAACGCCTCAGTGATCTCGACCAGCTAAACCAACGCGCTTTAAACCCTCCCAAAATATCGGGATGGGGTTGGGGTGGGGGTACCACAAAGCTCCCCCCGCCCAGGTGCTCAGAGCCCCCTGAACGGTCCCAGGGCATCGCCCGCCGCTCTGGGCAGCCTGTGCCAGGGGCTCCCGCCCTCAGCGCGGGGAATTTCCTCCTCAGATCTAGTCTAAATCTCCTTTTTTTAGCTCAAACCCGTCCCCCTTGTCCCACGGCTCCTCCACGCAGGACCCAGCATATTTCCCAGTTACCCACTGTTTGCATTTTACTCCCCAGAGAAGCAACTCACTGAATTTGCTCTCGTAGTTGTAATCGGAGCCTCCGCCGCCGGGCGAGTTGTAAGAGTTGGAGTAGGAGGAATAGTTGCCTTGCCCGTGGTTGTAGCCTTTCTGCTTGCCCTGGGGCGGGCCGTAGTTACTGTACTGGTTCTGGTTGTAGGATTGCTGCTGCTGGCCCTGGTGGGACTGGTACCCCGAGCCGTAGGAGGGTTTTTGCTGTCCTCCGTGCTGCTGTTTCTTCCCGCCGTGTTTCGGAGGAACCGGGGAGTTGTAGTTATCACCACCCTGGTAGTAGGAGCCGTAGCCAGAGGAGCCGCCGCCGCCGCCGCTCCCCGAGTTGGAGTGGCCTCCGTTGCTGTAGAACTGGCCTAAACAGAGAGAAGAGCATCAGCCCCGGCAGCGCATCACGGGGCGGGGGGCAGGTGGGTGAGACGTGGCGAGATTCCCCCCCAGGCCACAGCGCTGGGGGGGGGGGGGGGGGGGGTTGGGAGCCGTTTGCTCTTACGCTGGCGGAGGGTTTAGGAACTCCCCACCAGGTGAAACAGCGGTGGATGGGGAACCGTGAGACACAGCCCGAGAGCCCCGTGAGCGGCGCCCACTCCGTGCGCCCCCAGCTTTAATTCCAGCACGAGCCCAGGGTTTAGGACTAAGCTCAGGGCTACAACGGTTTCTTTAATGTGCGTTACAGTCACCGACAGTTATCGCTCTACAAAGATTTAAAATTGGGTGTTCAAACAAGACAAGTCGCCGTCAGTGGCACCTGATGCTCCGTCTCCGCAGCCCCAAGAGAAATTAACTCAACATCCAGGGGGATGGCCCCGAGGCACCCGTCTGGGTTTACACGGTCAGTGAGCAGCGACAATCCAACAGAAATTAAGACGTGGGTGCAGAGCTCATCCTATTTACCTCACAACTGGGGTGCTACCATGGTCCCCGAAACCCTCCAAGGGCTCTGCACACCCCCCAGAGGCCAGATGGGACAGCACTGCACGGAGGCCAAAGTTAGGCCAGGTTTAACTTTTTATTTATCAAGAGGACTACAGTCAAGCTCTTCCAGTGATTCTTTCCCCCGCCCAATTGCTGCAAGCTGAGCGTCGGGGCGGTCTCGGTGCTGAGCTCAGTGGGAGAAGATTTGCTCTACAGGCAGACTTGGCCTACTGGAAACTAATTTTCAAGGAACAGAAGACACTAGAATCGAACTAAAAACCTGCCCCAGTGTCCGTAACGGCGTGTACCTCTAAAAGAGGGAAAGACTGGCCAGCGCCTCCTCTGGAACAGAGGAGGTGGGTGAGAATTTAATTAAAAAGAAGTCAAAAAGAGTAAAATCTCACGCCCTTTGCTTGGGCAACCCCGCGTGAAACTACGGGGATGAGGCAGGGGGAAGGCGAGTCCCGGCTCAGTTCCTACATTCGGTGTTTGCAGCTCTTCCACGCACCTCACTTTTTAATTTTCTGATCGTTTAAATCGTTTCTTGTCTGCGCCCCCCCCTGCACTACAGTAACATTTCTACACAAGATTTTTGGTTTTTCCTCTTCCGCAGAAGATCACGCTTTAGCTGCGCAGAAACGAGGTTCTGTGATCGATTTATCTCCAGCCCCAAATGCCACGGTGGGAGCACAAACATCTCCTGGCTGCAGGAGACACGTGTACCGAACTCCCCGTCCTTGGTCGGGGCGTGGGGGGTTCCTCCAGAGCGAGGGGTTCCGACTGGCACCACGTTAAATTCAAGCTGCAGCTGCTGGCAGTTGGTGTCTCCCAAGTCGAGTCGTGGAATTTCCATTTTACACCAACACTTCATATTTAACTATGAAGTTTTAATGCTGTTTGACATCGGATGATGTTCGACTTTCCCCAAATCAAAGCTAAAGAATACAAATATCCAGCACACGAGGTGTTACTTTAACACGCAGTCGCTTTAAAAAAGGGGCAGTTTTGCCACCTCATTCGGGACAGGATCTCCCTTGTATAAAAAGTCATTATCTCAAACAACAGCTCTCTACAAAAAAATAGGGCATGCATCCTTATAATAATTCTTTTTTTAAGTATCCACTAAACACCTTGGACTTTTTTTTTTTTTTTAAAAAAAAAAACCCACAACCTGGTGCTCCACAGCCAACGGTTTTTGTTTTCCTTTAGCTGGTTTCAGTACCGAGTTAACTCAAAGGTGGTGGAGCCTCCCAAGTTAAATGAAGGCAGAGGTGCAGCTTTGCGGCTAAAACCAGCGACAAAACACGACACAGTTTGCAAAACAACCACCGCAGCAAGAACAAAGGACCAAACACTCGGGAATTCAGCGACTCGGGGTCTCGACTGGCCAATTGGGAAATTTTCCCCCCCGATTCCGGTGAGATTTAATTCTCCAGGCGATTAAAAGTACTTTTAGGGCGACGAGCGTTTTCCAGCTTGGCCGTTAAGTGCTTTTGGCCCTTTATGTGTGGCTCAGGAGGAGGCGGATTTCGCGTTAACGACGGAATCGGTGCGTTTCCGAGGTCACTAACGTGTCCACGCTAACCCCTAACGCCTGGATGTTTATTGTGGCAGGATGGGAAGCACGATTACAATACCTTGTGAGTACACTAGCTACCAGCCACGACAAGTCACACCCCTCAGCGGGAATCCACCAGCGTGTTACAGAGGATGTAGGATTAAAATTTTTAGCACACACGGTTTCCACGTACAAGTCAACATTTTGCATGCTTAAAAAGCTGGGCTGTACTACGTTCAAGAGATGTTGAAAAGTCTTCCCAATATCGAGAGGCGTGTACCCAATTGCTGGGATTTATTAAAAGGCTCAAAATTTTGTACAAAACCTGCTGTAAATTAAGACAAAGGTCGATTAAAACACTTCAGTTTCTTAAAAATAAAGTAATGCTTTCCATAAAAAGCAAAGATGGGCTTTTTGCCTTTACGCTGAACGGAGCTGGCTTGGAAATTTGTGCGAGGTGCACAAAAACATTCTCGGATAATTGGTTCCCCCTGTTGTGTACATCGATACAACCAAGTTCAAAGGCAAATCACAATAAAAACTGCCACTGTCTTAGTTCTGCAGGCTAAGAGAGTTTCAGACAAGCTGCGGTGAAAAGCCACTGTTGAGAAACCCAGTGAAGCACGGGGACACGGCACGAACACTTTGGGTTTTGGAGTTCGAGAAAATTGGAGTAAAAAGCTGTTTTTTGTGCAATACTTTTAGATGATCTAGGAAGACCCAAAATCATGATAGCCGTAGCAGTCTGTGAAAAAGTCACCTACAAAAGGGGGAGACAGAGCAGAGAGAAAAAATTAGAATTCTTTTGAAGATGGCAAAATGCGCCACATTTGAAAAAGTCATGTTTTAGATTTCTCTGCTCCTGTCACCCCCCAATGAAGGCTTCTTCTCAAGACCAATCGCTGGGTATTTTCAGGGAAATCACATTCAAAAGTGTGGCCGATAGCTTCACATGGCTTAAAGCAGAGAAATTTAAAATATTCACAGTTTTAGAGGAAACGTGAAGTCACCTGGATTCGCGTTTTTAACTTTTTAACGAGCACACAAGCCACCTTTCATGACTTCAAAAAAAAAAAAAAAAAAAAAAAAAAAAAAAGAAGAGAGAGAGAAACCCCCTTAGGAGGGCTCCTGCACGAGCACGGCGCAACCCGCGCCGAGTCTCACACCCCCAGCAGCTCGATGAGTTTCCAAATTTAAGATGAAAACCACTTACTATAGCCTGCTGTCGCGGAATTGCCTCCGTAACCATAGCTTCCGTAGCCAGCACCTAGATTCAAAGAAAAAAAAAAAATGTTGAAAGAAAAGGAAATGGAAGCAGACAAAAGGCCTCGTGTTTCCCGTCACGCTCCGAGACAAAATACTGGTTTGGGTGGGAAGGGGCCGGATCTCACCTGCATTCATGTAGCCACCGTGGTTGCCACCGAAGCCCCCCCGGCCTCTGCCCCGGCCTCGGATGTTGCCACCTCTGCCACGGCCACGCATGTTGGGGGGAGGAGGCACCTCGTTGTGCATGGGGCCTCCCATCCCAAAACCCGGGTTGTGCTGCTGAGGGGAGAGAGGAAAAAAAAAACCAAAACGTGTCACCCGGCTGCAGAATGCACCACCTGGCCCCCGAGGTGACAAAAAAATAAAACCCCCAAACAAACAAAAAACCCCCCACTTTTCCAGGGGGGGGACAGCGGGAGCTCCGGAACGTGCCGGGTACCCGCCTGCCTCGGAAAGGAGGGGGCTAAGCGAAACACAGGGGGGCAGGCACCCAGTAAGGGTCATCTCCAGAAAACAGGCTGTTTTCTGTAAAACTCAATGAATTTATGCTTTCAAGCAGATCCTGGTTTCCCTCCACACCTTAAAATATTTCCCCTCCCCAAAAAGGGATGAAAACCACAGAGCAGGAGACAACGGCGCTACAAAACTGTTAAGTTACACCAGGAAGCTGTAGAACTGTGGATTTACTTACTTTTACTGCAAACTTGGGGCCCCCCCTTGCGGGCACGGGGGCTCTCTTCTTCTTGTTCTGCTCGATGGCAACGGGGGCATCTGGGAAGAGCTTCTCCAGCGCAGCCAGAGCAGCGTAGGCTTTTGCCACCTTTTTATTGGAACCGGCTCCTTGGAATTTCTGCCCGTCAACCTCCACCTTTGGAAGGGATTAAGTCAGTGCACGTAAGCAGAAAGGGCAGGAACAGAAGCTGCCACTTGGGAAAATTAACCATTTTTTTGTGGTGCCTACAGATAATTCCAGGAGTTGGAAGGGCTGAAGGTGAGACTGGATGAGGCCTGATGCTGTGAAAACGTCCCCACCCGCTCAACGATCTTTAACAGGCCCCTTCCAACCCAAACCATCCCGTGATTTTATGATTTTTAATTCTGACTTGAGAGCCCTGGTAAGAGACACCCGAGCTGGGACGAGGGACTGGGGGTCACCTCACCTCCATGACGAAGCGCTTGTCGTGGCTGCCGCCCGTTTCGGAAATCAGCTCGTACTTCAGCCCACGCCTCTTCTCGTTCAGCTCCATGACGGGATTCTTGCCGTGCTTCGTCAGAATTGGTCCCTGTTGTTTCACATTCTGGAAGTAGAGAAGCGGTGATGTAAACTCCCACAAAAAAAAAAACAAAACCCCAACAAAACGAGGGTCTCTCAAGCCGCTTCCAAACCGTGTATTTTGCAAAAGATCTGAAGGAGGTAAGCTCAGAACGAGCTGCCCTGATTTTTTAACCTCATCAGTTGTACCACCATGGCACCTGAACGGTACAAAACACCATCAGAGCAACCCGCTGCCACCGGGCCCTTCCAACCGTGTCCCACCTCACCCCACAGCCCCAGCGGGGCCTGTCTCACCCCCAAGCCGTGCTCACCTCTGGGGTCTGATCTGAAGGAGGGGAGGCAGCAGTGGGCGTCGAGACAGTTTCTACTACAGGAGGAGGAGCGACAACGACTGGTTTCTGTTCTGTTTCCTCTGCTGATTCGTCTCCTTTCCCAGATTCTTTGCCTTCCACTCCTGTGGGCAACCCCATATCTTGTAACACCTAGAGCAAGGAGAGTAGGTTACTGAGTGGCGCTCACCTTTCAGGGGAAACACCCAACAGCACTGCTCAAGAATCCTTTTTTGAGTTCAGTCCAGGTGCCAGGCATTCCCCAAACGCTGAGATTTGGGAAGTCCTCTGCCCCCAGACTCCACACACAGCAGACAACACTGGTGTCTGGCTCCCCTCCTCCCTGTCCTGAGGGGTTTGGGACACTCCTCACACCCGGCTGCCATCACCATCAATTTAGTTGCCCCTTTGCAATTTAACGAGGTCAGAAATCAAACCGCCTCCCAAGGAGAGGCCTCTGGCAGGAGCTGGCACACCCCCGGCTCTTACCTTCACTGCCACGTGCAATTTGGCTGTCTTTTTGGAAGGTCCCGATGCCTCAAAAGTGCTGCCATCAATTTCCACAGACATCGTAAAGATCGGAGCGTGAACGGGACCAGTCTGAGAGACAAGTTTGTACTGGAGGCCAGGTTTGAGCTGGTTTAGTTTCATCAGTGCATTCATGGCCTGGGGAGGTTCGAGTTTTTCCTCTGAACAAAGCAAAAAAACTAAAAGTTTGTGGCTGTTTATCATCTCTTTCAAACAAACATAACCAATTTCAGACAAGTTCTGCATTTTCCTCCTTGTGAGAGTTTAAGTTATACCAAGTAAAAATCTTACAGTGTTAAGGTGTTGGTTTTTGTTTGTTTTTTTAAAATTCACATGCCCTGTAACCCCTATTTACAGCATCACCCAAGACCAAACCCTTGCAAGAGCTCTTCCACAACCTGCCCCCCGCCTCGGCCTGCGAACAGCTCTCGGGTAGCCATTTGTACCTACCTCTCGTTAACTCAATACCTTTTTTCTGAATCTTCTTTTTCTTTTTGCTGGGAGATTTCTCCTCTCCGTCCTCCTCCATTGGACGCTTCATTGGGGTGACAGCGTACGTTGTACTGGGAGGAATCTGGACTGTAACAGCAGTAACAAAAACCCCCTCAGTCTTCCAGTTTTCAGCAACAGCAGCAGCAAAAGCCTTGGAAAGGTGATTTGGGTTTGGTTTTTCTGCCGAGTACGTACCAGTATAGTCAATGGGGTTTTCGTTCTTTGGTTTCTTGGGCATTTTGGAGGGTAGGGGATCCATCCCCAAGACTTTGTGAAGCTGGCCAAAAGCAGCAAGTCTCAGAGCGTGCTAGAAAGATTAAACATGTGTTACCGGGACGCGCAAGAGGCTCCACCACTCTCTGTTCCCTGCACAGTTTCAGACAGGAACATTCTACCCACCCCTACACAGAAATCCTCATCAGTTTAAATAGGACTCTCTGAATTTTTGCAGTTCAACCCAAAATACGGGTCGTGGTAGCAAGTCACTATTTAAAACCTGATACTTTGCTTCTGGTTGGCCAAGCTACAAATTCCTTATTGGTGTGGGACCCATATGTATTTCTTTTACTTGACTAGATATTAAAAAAGTTAACAGCGACCTCTGTGAGGTTACTATACTACCATTAACCAATATGGAAGTTCAGAGTCAGTTGAACTGATTAAGTTTTCGTAACATCTGTAGTCAAAACTATACCTGAGCACTCTGTGTGATATCTTCCCTTTGTTGTCTGTCTAGATGCCCAATAGCATCAGTGGCTTCTTTTTCACAAGGATCATAAATACCAGAACCATCTGAAGGCAGGAAACAAGGAAGATATGCAGAGAATTATCCTGGTGTTTCTAAAGAAACTAAACTAAGTATTCCCTTGGCATCAATCAACACTCATCTCTCGGAGAACACGGACTGACATGATCCATCCAATGTCCAACATTGTGAAACTCGCCTGGGCTATTTCACACGTACAATTAGCAGTGAGGCTGGTCACGACCCCTCAGGGAAGCAAATTTTACGCTCGTGGAAGCTGGAACCTCTCTCTACGGGGGGGTTTAACGTCATGGGTCCGTAGCTCTGAACTCACGTGCCCTAGGTAACGGCAAGGTACCGTAGTACCCGTCTACGCCGGGGGCTGTCTGAGCTCCGAGTCTAGGCTGCCCGCACACACCACGAGGGACTTCTCGAACGCTACGGCAAGGTGACCGCGCCTGGGAGCTCCGCCCGCGCCGCATTTCGGCTTCGCTTTGCAATGTAAATGCAGAGAACCACCTAACCTGGCATCACGATCCCCGAGGCGAGGCACTCGAGAACTCTCCTCAGAGCCTCGCCAGCGCCCATGGGTCTGTTGGCAGTTCCGATAGATTTCTCACACAGCAGCTCGAGAGGCTGAAAGACAGGTTGGAAGAGTGAGAGAAGCCCGGCAGGCGCTCGCGCTGCGATCGGGGCTGGAGGCTGCTGCCTCTTCCCAAACGATGAGATTTTTACGCTGCAGAAACGAACCGCTCAAACGATTTACGCCGCGGACGGCCGAGATGCAACCTCTAAGGGCAGAAGCTTCGCTCGCACCGTTTAAATCTCTTAACTTGGGACATGGGCCACGTGCAGAGTGAAGAGCCCAACGCTGCTTCAGGGAAAGCGGCACCAAATCCCCAAGAAACGAACAAAAAAAAAAAAGGAGCATTACCCATCCTCTCAGAGGCGCCCAAGTAGGAACCCGAGTACACAGGTCTCGCAGCACTCGTATCACTATGACACACGACTTCAGCCCGTTAGCCCTGGCCTAGAATAAGAATCAAAAGCAGACACACAGTCAATAAAAACCCCCAAACTGCTCGTTTGCAGACATTCATTTTCGTGGTGCTACTTTGTCAAGGGTAAACAGTATTTCGCGTCACCATTTTAGCACTTAGAACAACAACCGTCGTGTACAAAGGCAACATTACTCTTAACACAAAGCAGCAGCTATGCATCTATTCTTTAAAAAAGGTTCCTGCCGACCATTTAATTCACTTAAGTGCTTCTTTAGCAACTGTACCGTTGACAGACGCTAAGTTCAGCACGTCTAACTATCATCCGACGTTAAAGTATTTTAAATAAAAAAACAAAAACGGTCAAAAGACTTTACAAATTTTCTACTTAAAGACAAATATAAGAACAAAATGCAAACCTGGAACCACTTGGCGTGTCGCAGTGACGCCAAGGCAGCAAGGCATTTCTGCCTGTCCAGAACGTCCGGGGAGTCGGTGACTGATAGCGTTTCTATTCGTGGATGGAATAAGAAGACAAGGCACAGTTTGACCAAGGGGGATCTGTCAGGCGGAGAGGGGATGAGGCAGCTTCCTAACGGGCAGCTGAGGCTCCCAAAAGATCCTGATCTAGCTCCTGTACCGTGGAAGGAGGGGTCTGCAGTGCGCTCGCCTAGCGGCCTCGCTTCGAAATGCAAACTGCAGCGAGGGGGGAGGTTCAATTAACTGGGAGGGGCTGAAGTCTATTCTGCGAGGAGACGGGGCGTGAAGCTCGGTGGGAGAGGACAGAAATCCTTTACGACTCGAATGAAGTGGTGGCGTAGGAGGCCGGTAATAGGTAACAAAGGGAAATTTAAGATAAAAAGAACCCCCCACTCTGCATTTCGCTGTAGCGGAGGAGTGGGGGGAGAAGCTTTGTGAGGATCAAGGGAACCCCCTCCGCCCATAAGGCTTGACTGCCCTGGCCCCAACCCGTGACAGAGAGCGTCCTGTTGGTCAAAGGTCCAGCGTCCCTAAAATTGACAAACTAGAAGGCTTGGTAGACGAGGTCAGATATCAAAACCAAAAGACAGTCAATAGAGCACAAAGATATTTCCCAGTCTGTGCTGCAGCAAAACTGAAGATAAGGTTTGAAAAAGCGCAAAGTTTCTCAAGACCAGGGTTTTAGATAAGGCTAGTGCACAGAGCGAGAGGTTGACAGCCACCAATTCGACGGCACGGCGCCTACGAGACAGAAGCCATCGTAATTCACGCGCCAAAAACCGTCTGCCAATTCCAAAGGGAATTTGAGAGCCAACGGAGAAGCTAACTTTATCCAAAACTCTGCATCGCTGTCTGGAATTCTGAACTTCAGCTGATGAAACAGCCAATCGAGGAGACCCAGAGCACTTATCATTCTTGCTGCAACACAAACTGCGTGGAACATCCAATTTCATGTACATGCAAAGTCATTTAACAAGAAGCCTTCGAGATTTTTATTTTTTTTTTCTTAAACGTATCTGGTTTATATTTTTATGTCACTGTGCAGGCCACTTACATGGCTAGGTACGAAACAAGATTAATACAACAAGATGACATATTAGTGAACTAAAGGCCCAAGTAAAATAAAGGAAAAAAATTAAAAGGATAAAAAAAAAAAAGAGCAAAATCCCATCTGAAAGGTGCTACTCAGTTTCTGAAGCTTGGTCCAAATCAACCGTAACCGTGATCTCATGAGGTTGGTCTTCTCTTACGGAATTTTGAATTTGCACAAAAATAATTGTTGCCGCTTTGGCTGAAACTGAAGAGCACGCTTTAACAGCGAATTAGCAACAGAAATGTACGGGTTGCCAACCGACTGTCGGCCGTTTGCAGTCTGCCATACCTCCAGCTAACTGTTTCTCCATTTCTTCTCTGACTACAGGCGACGTCAAGTGGATGGTCAGCGTCAACGGCGGCTCTTTTGTGTTCTTAATTACAATGGCGGCGTCACCCACCGACTGGATTATTTCGTATTTGTCTTCAGTAATAGCCTGCAAGATAATTTTCCCACTTAACTATCGTCTTAATTCGCTTCTGAGCGATTTCAAACAGCTTCTCCCAACAAAAACCAAGGTCTATAAACAAAACTTCGGCTCACAGAGAAGTTTATTTCACAAGGCGACTCCAGAGTAAGGCCACACGCCTGTGAAAATGACTTTTCCAAGAGGAAGGGATCAAAACAAATGTCCTCAGTGTCTTTTTAACCACTTAAAAGCTCTTCCACTCGCTCTGCCGCAAGCACACGCAAGTGTGGGGAGGTTTTACTCACAGCAAGCTGTACTCCGAGATTGTCAGCTACTTTCTCCAGGAGCTCTGTGGTGGGTTTATCTTTGCACAGAAGAACCAGCTCAAGATCCAAGTCCCCCTTCAGCAAGAGGCCTTTGGCTACAAGCCCCACGCGCATCACGCCCCGCAGGGTCCTGGTCAGCTGCTCTGAGGCCTTCTGGTCCCTGCAAACACACGGGCTCTGGTCACGGGGGCTCCAAAACGCCCAGAATTAACAGCAGGTGGGGAGGTGCTGATGGCCACCCCGAGCCGAGGGACAGATCTGCAACACTTCAAGACAACACACGACCCCCCGCCCCCCCGGACTGACCACACCCGCATGGGAAAAGGCACTTCAACCCTGCGGTGGTTAATTCCTCTTAATCCCACAGCCAGAGAAAACAACTTTTCCACCTTCAGCGAGCAGATTTTTCCTGATCTAAATCAGAAGGTGCCGTCAGTCCCAACCGTGCCCTTCACAAGCCCGCGCACCGTGACGTTCCTTACCCTCCTTCCTTGTTTTCCTCTTCGCCTGCTGTCTCCATGGACTCTGTTTCTGGCTGCTCCCCACTGACTTTTTCTTGCTCGTCGATCCAGTCGGACACAGCCTTGAGCGCTCGCTCCGTGTGGGACACCATATTCTGAACGGCCTCCAGCTCCTCCTGCGTCGGGTAAACGGCCGAATGTTTGGCCATCACGTGGCGGTCGTCGTTCACAAAAATACGCATTGGTCGCTGAAAAGGGATTTAAAAACCATTTTAGCCAGAACGGAAAGGTGGATATACACCTCGCGAGCCCGAAACCTCCCGATCCTTACCATTTTTGCTTTCAAATCTCTGCCCAAGCGTTTGAAATGTGCCGATTTAGATCCTCCCACCAAAAAGACTGTCCCAGTACCACACTTTTCTGCAATCTGAAAGCAACAGAAAGCCAGTCAGTGATGCTGGCAGGCTGGTCCGTCCCACAGCCTGCTTGCTGAAAGTACACAGGAACAGAAATAACTGCCATCCATCACTGGAAGCAAGAAATTAAGTTAGAAGTATGCAAACTCGTGAGCGAAAGCCCAGTTTTCTGCTCCCGATGACTTACACTCAGTGCTCACAGTAACAACCACGGCCAGGTGCGACACAGCTCTGCCCCCCAGTGCGCACAGGCTCCCTCAGAGAAGGTTCTGCGTTACCTGCCCGGCAGCTTAGCGAGCACCACATGCTCACTTACCATCCACCAGCTCAGGCACAGAGCAAACGCTGTGAGCCATTCCCTCCTACGATCCCCCCCCCTGAAGCAACAACACCCCACTGCTCGGTTTTCCCCTTCCTCCTTCTTGTTCGCTGCCATAAGAATTTGATTTTTGGGTCCTTACTCCCAAGAGGGTTTTCGTATTAAAACTGTTTTTTTCCAAAGCTCCTGTTTGTATTTCTAAACCAAAGCACGCTGAAGGTAATGCGCTCCCCGCCAGAGCAGCCTGTGCTGGGAAAATGAAGTCTCTAAGCGGAGAGAACTCCGTGAGGTGCAGAGCTGGGCTGCCTTCACCTGGCTGTCAAGAAAGGTGACAGCTTACCTGCAGGCAACTCAGAAGCAACGCTTTGCCATACACTTTTTACCCCAAATTCATCTTACAGCCCCGAGGTAAATAAGCCTGCTTTTAATTGGGATCAATACAAGTTCAGTAGCTGCACCAAGTCTCTTCACTTACTTCATCAGGAAGAAATAGTATAAACTTACACTTGCAACTTGCTTTAAACTTACACTTGCAACTCCTAAAATTCAACCAACTGATCCAAAGATCACAACAGCTTGTTCCCAACCCAGAAGCCATTTTCGAAGGGAACTAACCCCCTCCGACAGCCCAGCTGGGGTAGCGAAGTCCTTTTGTTAAAATTCCTGGACTTTGTTCCTCTGTTTCAGCCAAGGGGCCTTCGAGCAGAGACACATTCGCGTCCTGAAGGACCGATTTCTGCTGTGGGGAAGACGACAGCTTCCCAAGATCGCCTTCGGATGCGAGCAGGCTTCTGGCAAGAACTTCAAAAAGCCGTCTCGCACCCACTGGGATCGGCTCGTCGGCGTCCGTAACATCGCTTCCCACGCGACCAGTGTTAAGAATCGGCAGTTGCTTGATTCAGTCATGAATTTGACCAAACATCTTTAATAGAACTCTTGATGTACCTCTAACTGCAACCACACAGGGGCAATCCCAGTCCTCCAAACACCCTGATGTTCTGTGGTAACCCCAAGAGTTGTTAAGTGCCATTTAAAAGGCGTTAACAGGAGAGGGGCAAAGAGCTTCTGTACCTGAAGGTGATGGAGATGAAGGTCATCATCATCTGCATCCACCCACCAGCTGTTTCACTTCATTTCACCACCAAGTACCCATCAAAACTGGCCAGTAACCAGTGCTTTCCAAAACACTGCTGGGGAATGTCACTCACGCCTCGATTATTCCAGAGCTCACCACCAAACCCCATTGCTCTGGGAGTCCTTCCACTTGCAATGGGTTTCACTCAGAAGGAAACCAGACTGATGCTTACTTTTGCTTTTTTCCACCAGAATTTACCCCAAGTTGGCTGCTTCCAGCCTCACCAGTCATCGCTGCGTACAGCTCACAGACCCAGGTTTACCTTTCACGCTCTACAGGTAACACAGACTGCAAGCGAGCCCGGCCAATCTTATGTATAAATTGCCCCAGATACTGGTGTAATAGCAAAAATTAAAAAGAATTAACAGCCCAAATAGTGCTTCACTAGAGTAACGCTGATACAACTCCATAAAGTAACACGAAGGGGCTGGGCAGAAATCGGGACCCTGCTGCACTACTTGTTTCACAAACAGAGCTGGGGCTCAGGACCTGAGGAATTTTCTAGGATAAAATCAAGAAAGCTCATTTCCTCGAGCCGCTGTTGCTGTATGGACTCGGCATTCTACAGCACAGAAATACCTCCAATTCCAATCCTGCAAATGTTACGTACAGGACAACTTTGATTTTGTTACAAATCCAGATCTAATTGTAATTAGACCCAGATGTCAGCGCCCGATGAGCGGGGAAGAGTTCTCCCGAGCTACCTGCAGGAGCCCCCAAGGCATCTTCCCAAGTTTGGGGGGGGCTGGCTTCCCAATCCGCTCCTACTCTGGACTGGACCCCGATGAACTCAGACACTTTGTATATAATAAGTTTTCTTAAAACTCCCTTAATTTCCTCCAAGCGAGGTAAGAAATGAGTTGAAATCTGACCTAGCGAGGCAGCTGTTTCCACAGCCAGAAACTACTACAACAGCCTAAGAAACTAGAGTCCCGTTTCCTGCGATTCCTAACGACGGATGTTAGCGCTCTTCTGGAAATCACTGAAGTTCATTGCTAGTGAGAACCCAGGAGCTGATGCTGCAGCACCACAGGATTCGCCTCTTGGGGAAAAGAACCACAGAACAAGTTAAAAACACGAACGCACCCAGTAACGCACAATTCCTGACATCGCTCTTGAGGCTGATCGTCATAAAATTTGAGAAAAAGGAGAAACTTTGAAATTCCACCCTTGTTTTTAGCCTCGCCCGCTCTGCTCTCCCCCTCCTACGATTTCCACTACCAGCTCAATTTCACCAACAAACTTTCCACTCGATTCGAGGCTTCCAATGGAAGGAGCAGCCTCTCCGAAACATTTGTTGGGGGGGTGGATGAGAAAAAAATGATAAACAGAATGCAAAAAGGCTGAAACTTCTGCCCTAGATCAGGGGAAAGTTTAGCACGCACGTAGAAGCGCGTTTCGTTTTAGAAAGCTTCTACGTTTTAAGGCAGAATTCATTGGGTTTAATCTGCGTTTTGAGCCTGTCGTACCTGAAGAGGATGACGGAAGGAGCGCGAAGCCTGAACGCCTCGCTCGTGTCTGCGTGGGGACGGGAAACCCGCAGGCAAAAGCTCTTCCAGGTCTAAGGACCCTGAGAGCATCTATCCCCCAGCACAGGGCTACCTGGCTGACCCAGGGGATGGTAAACAAGTGACACGCAGGGAGGTTTTTGTGGGTGTTTTTTTTTTCTCTCCCTGAACCGTCCAGAAACTGAGCAGCTACAAATAACGGGATCGATGAGAAGGGGAATTACGAGCGAGTGATGGGAGAGCCCAGGTAAAACCCTGGGGAGTGAAGTTTAGGACAGCAGAGCGTGGTCCTGTGCCTGAGGGAAGGAGGTAGGGTTTAAAACACAATAAAGGGGATGTTCACACCTCACCTGTGCCCCCCCCCCCCCGGGGCAGCGGGGAGAAGCTTGCGGGCCACGGGGAGCTGGTTGCTTCGTGGGCCTGGAGGGGTGGGTTGGGGGGTCGGGAAGCGGCCCAGGACCCCCCCC